TGCCTTGTAACCATAATCAAACCATATATTTTAGTAAATTATACTTTTTACCTAAAGTCTTGGTTGGGATAAAAAAAGCTGGTGTCACAAGCGGGATTCGAACCTACGACCTTTGGCTCTATACGCCACTGCTCTAACCTCTTAAGCTATTGTGAACATGATAATAAAAAGCTGCAGCTCAAGGACTGTATGAAAAAATTAGCATCCTAAATAATGAAGTCCTAACACGACTGTATTGGTGTCGAAAAACCGCTCCTCTTTTGACTACTTCCTTCCTGAATATTCAGCATATAACTGGATATATTAAATATGACTCGAAATTGGATTGTTATAACATGCACTATGATAACCTATTCACTGATGTTAAGATACATTATTTTCCAGACTTTAAGGATAAAAATCCGAGCATGGTAAATGCACTTATACAAGAGACAATCAGAGTAAGATGGAAAGGTGCGCTCTTGTTATTTTTACAGATGGGTCAAAAATAAAAGGAAGAGTCGGATGCGCTGTTTGGGACCCAGTATAATATGAGATGGTTAAGACGCAGCTACCTAACATCGCTTCTGTTTATACAGCGGAATTAGTTGCGATAAATCAGGCCTTGGAATACGTGCTTTCTATTTCCAATAATCATATTGCAATATTGATCGATTGCTTGACTTCAATTGATTGCTAACAAAAAAAATAGGTTTTCATACAATAGTATATGCCGGGGCGTTGGTGGCCGCAACGGTTTAGGCATCGACATGGCGCTCATCACTGTAAGGTAAAGGTCCCTGGTTCAAATCCACCCTGCATTCGAGCCCGACATACTTACAAATAGGCTTTTTTTTTTTAAACACCGGCACCCCAAGGGTTATATAACCTCTGTGTTGCGAACCCTCATTTAAAAAAATAAATAGTATATGCCTTAATATCTTAGCTAATTTAGAGAAATTGTATGCTCAGCATAAAAAGTTCCACCTCGCTTGGATTAGAAGCCATGTGGGTATCGAGGGAAATGAAAAAGTGGATAAATTAGCGAAGGAAGCAACAACAACTGGGACAATTATAGATATTAGACTACCTATAAATGACTTAATTACTAGTCTTAAATGGTCCGAGGAATGGAATAATCACATTAGGAACAGCAAAAAATGTCGATTCTATATTAACAAGAAGAAACAAAAAGAAAACTCGGACCCACAGTTTAGACAATACAGTTTGGGAAGAGACTTCTGACATGTTATTTCTCGGCTGAGATCTGGACATGCCTTGTGCAATTCATATCTGTACTGGTTTAACATGAAAAGGTTACCTTTATGTGAATGTGCAAAATGGAGGAAACACCTGAACATATAATTATGATTTGCCCAGGATATAGTATGCATAGAGAAACCATGTGTGAAAGTATATCTAAATTGGTCATTTGCCCATTTAATTATTTCCAATGAGAGCGTCTTGCACAAGTAGTAGTAAAGATATGAAAGATATAACCAAGTGTACAGCAGAAGGGTAGTCTAATCATCGACGCTTTCGGCGCCTCCCTTCTGGCTATTACTCCGGGGTTGAAGTGGGGGACTCACGACTCAATAAATAAAAATAATCTGGCTGTGGCTGTCAGGCTGATGCCAAAAAACAAAAAAAAACATGATAATACGCATAATTCAAGGATACTAATAAGGTCAAGGTTTTTTTTGCAAAATCATTACTAATTAATAAATTAGTATGATTTAAGACTTATTGCCTGCCAGTTCTTTTACATCATTTATCATCATTTGATGATTACTTTCACTTATGAAGAAATCTAGAAAGTTTTAAATGAGTTTGTTTTAAAGTAAATTTAATTCCCTGCGAGATTTAATTTGCTATTGTTTCGAAAAAAGTAAATAATTTCTTAGATATTTGCCAATATATAAGAAATAGAGTAGACTTGTGGATCAAGACATCAATGACTGTAAAGTAAGTCTCATACCACCCTGTATTGTATTTGCCATTTACCAATTTCCCCTACTAAAATGATAATTCTATAGTTTTAATTTTCATCTTAAGAGAATGTTTATAAAATATTTGCTACAAATTACTTGGGTTGTAATGAAAAGCACTAAATAGTATAAATAATAAAAGTTTGAAATAGACTCCCTGTCAAAAAAAAAAAAAAAAAAAAAAAAAAATTCGCAATACTCTCAGATTTTTGTAATTTATGAGAAAATCCAGTTTTAAAAGAAACGAAAAATAAGTTCAGAAGTACAAAATATACTATTTTATTTTTAATTGAACACATTTAGAATTAAAAGAACACATTTAGAATTAAAGAACAAATTCTTCCCTCTAGTTTTAATAACTGTTTCCATCCTTATTAGCATACTCATAAAATGTTTTTGTAGAAAATCCCTGGGTATGCAGTCCAACTCCTCCAACACAGCTGCCATTACCATTTCAAGGGTTGTAGGAAGTTGAAGGCATAACCAACTTTCCTTCGAGATTGTTCCAAACTGGTTTGGTTGAGTTCCAGACTTGTTCATTTGGCCAAACACGATGCAATGCATAACATGCATAAGCAATGAATTAGAGCTTAAAAAAAGGCACTATACGATTTTTTACATCTCCTTAAGGCATCCAAAGCCAAGTACTGGTTCCCACTCAGTATGTACCTCCCAAGAAACGCCACCCAAAAACAAGATAGTCCCACATATAAATGTCACTATTGCGTCTATCTGTAAGTATCTTTTCCAGACTCTTTCACAGGGTCATTCTCATCTCATCGGTAAATAGAACTTTTCTGCATTCCTCTATAGGCCATGATTGGAGTTCCCTTGTAAATTTTAACCTCTTTTTACGGAATTCAGTGGTAAGAAGGGATTCATGGACCTACTTGATCTACTTGATCAGTTTGACTCTGTTGCATGCTTGTTGTGCCAGCTCTTAAGCATCATTGGCTCAAAGCCCCCCTCTCATCAATCGGAAGACTCTGGCCCTCTTCTTGACCAGTCTAGAAGAACCTGCGCTTCCGAACTTTGACAACTTCTCTCTTTTGGTTTCATTTATGAGCGGCAGTGAACTTTTTTATTTTGATTTATATTTGGAGTTTATGTTCTTTTTTTTAAGGAAATTATTTTGTTACATGCCAAAGAACATTTTAACTTGTTTTTTGCTTTCCTTTTCTTTTCTTTTTTTTTTACACCTCCAGTTTTGTTTGATTTTTGGGAGACTTTGAGAAATACCCGTTAAAACTCTCTCAATCTTGACTTTCTGACCGATATCTCTTGAATACGAGCGATCACGAAGAATTCTACTAGCTCCCTACTACATGTCTAACCTCACCATCCACAATGACCTGAACATGTCTTTTGTTCAAAACTTCTTGAAATTCCACCCTAACCTTTAATTTCACCTTGATCATTCCTTTTAAGCCCTTGATGGTGATGAGGATACTAGGAAGCGGGGTTTAAGCTCAGTTGACTTCCTGACTGATATCCCCTAAATACGAGCGATCTTTCTTAGCTGTTGAATTGCGGTTCAGGATTGCATTTTAATAAAACTATGCATGGGATTCTGGTATATTCAGGATTTAGTTACTTCGAGTGACTCCCGCTTCCCCTTCACATTTAAATAGCCCTTGATGAAGTGGATACTGGAAAGTCAAACTACTGCAGACTTCTGGATTATTGTTCTTTTCTCAGTTCAATCATTCTCCTAAAGAGTGCTAGTCATTGTTACAATTCCTTTCCCTGAGTTTTCTTTCTATCCCAGATTATATCTCCATTGAGTGGTTACTTCATATTTGAAGAAGACATGGGTGGGTGTTTCTTCCTCCTATATTGCATAACCTAAAAATGAGGTCATCATTGAAAATACCAATGTTGTGTAGATGTTTTCTCAGATGCAAGTGACCTGTCGTCCTATCACTCCTCTGAGTTTAGCCCTCTCTGACTTTAGCAGTGAGTTTGCGAGTTTCAGTGAGAGTTATCTAGCACCTCTAGAGTTTATTCACTTTTCCTTTTGTATTTTTTGGATCTATTTTGTGATGGAAGATTCTGTGTTTGCTTTTGTTATCACAGTAATAGGTTCAGGGCCTATATGGTATTCAGATTCTCTTCTGCCTTTTACCCAAAATTTCTTTATGTCCTGGTATCTAAGATATCATCAGGTTGTTGTGTTTCCCCAGATTTTGGAACTTTGGGATGCATTCACTAACTTTGATGTGATTATATTTCATGTTAATACTTTAATAGCTGCTTGGCTTATAAGGATTTTTTGTCAGTGTAACCTCTTTTAAGATGTTCTAAGTCACAAGCATTGATGGCTTGTATTTAAGCTTCAAAGAATGAGAAAAACATCACTAATGAGTTTGAGTGCACATATTTTGGGCTTGTGCAGTAAACAAAATTAGCTTTTCCTCCTTGCATAAATACTTCCAATGGGAGTAAGTTTAGTAGTTTCTCTAGTGCAACTAAAAGTTTGTTTTCATTGCCTCTGTGATATACGTATAAGGCAGTCTTTGTATGCCGCCTAATATTTGGGTAGGTTGTTTTTGCTGAGCTGTGGTCCATCAAACAATCAGCCATAGGAAAATTTGGGTCTTATTACTGTCAAAACTGAGGAATGCCAACGTGATCAGCAATAAAGCGCAATGATTTCTCTTCTTCTTTTGTTATTAATATAATCATGTTTGATCATATAAACTAGGAAATCATCAATTTGCCATGTTTTTTCCCCTTCAAATAAATATATGGTATATAATGTCCGTTCTTCATGATAGTTATAATTCTGTATGATTCATCATTTTGCAAGTAAATGTTACGCAAATAAAAATTAACAGAGTAAAGAAAGGAACGAAATTGCTAATAAAAGGTAAAAACTGACAGGAACATTGAAATAAACCAAGAAAAACCTTGATCCTCTTGTTGGTAAACAATGATGAAAAATGATCCCCAATGTCTCTCATGGAACAAATAATCTATATATAAACAAAACGTTAAGATCAAAAACTAATAAATATAAAGATTTCTAGGTGTTGCGACATTTTTGATAGGGAGTGTAGTTACTGATGTTAATAAATAAACGTATTTACACTTTTTCCAAGATGTAAAATACAAAGATTTTTATTATTTCAATCTGAAATAATATAATTGATTTTTTGTTAATATTCTCACTGAAAAAGGCGTCTAAAATATGCCCAATAATTTCTAAAAAATAGCATCTTTTCACAGTTTGGAAATGTTTTGCCATACTAATTCATACATAACTGTACAACTGATTTTATTTATACAGCTTCGTGAATAACTTGATTCTCTGATTCACACATTTTATCAGTATTAAAAAGTTTATAAGTAAGTAATAGATTTTCATAAAGCTTTTTTTTATATATATATCCTTGTAAGAAAATAACCCTCGTTAACCTATTACAAATGAAATAAAATGCAGGAGTAGCCTACTTGTGCAATTTGCTATAACGTAGCAGCTACATAACTGTTAAATATTGATTATGATTCCCATGGCCAAAGGAAAATTGTAAAATAGTGCTTTTCAATCCCAACTGTGCTACTAGATTAATAACAAATACCAATAAAGCACTAATAATTTTTATCACATGAGAATTTTTTTTTACCTTGGACTCGGTTGAATGGTGTATTTAGTCTGTTGTGGCGGACAGGTCCTTATATACTCAGCCGCAGTCTTCTTCGCTATATATCGTAAACTAAAAGATAAAATCACACTCACTCAGCGATCAAGTTAATTTTTTTATGCACTAGTCAGAAGTTCTTTGGTTATTATTAATATCATTTCATTTAAGAAAAAAATGGACAATACATATAGAGTAAGAAAGCAATACTGTTATTGGGAAGAAAAGTAAACCAGATTTATATGTACTAATGGGATTGGCTTTCGTAGGTTTACTATGGCTTCAGCCTAAATGTCTTGCTTCACTTAAATCGCTCCCCTCCCTTTTTTTAACATTAGAGGGAAATATATTAAATCAATGATGTAAGTTAAAGAACTACAAATATTTTCAAAACTACTATTATTTAAATTCAATTAAATAACATCAATAGTTGTTTTTATTCGTTCAAATTACAGTTTAAAAGAATTGAAAATGGGAAATAGTGAGAAGGGGTCGGAAACTGACGGGTAAATGGTAATTTATAATCAAAAACTTTTTTTTTTTACTTCATGGCAATACTCTGAATTACCTAATATCTGATGTGAGAAGTTGTACTCGGTTGAGTATTGATTTCGCCTGAGCTTGTGTCACATGTCGCAAAGACTCATTATTGATGGTTGTAATGAAATCTCCAACAGAAACGCGACCATCTTTTGCCAACGCGCCATTGGGAATTATTTCAGTCACAACCATGCCGTTTAAACCATCGTTGACAATTTCAAGATTAATACCTATGAAATTTTTGCAATTAATTGTAACACACAGTAGTCCGTTGTTGAATAGATTTTAATGTTACCTAATTGGTCAGAAGCTTTGTGAATTTTGACTTCTGATTCTAATGTGACAGGTAAGGGCACAAAAGGCACTTTTTGTTCAATATTTACTATTTCATCTTTTTCGCCTTTTTCCAGCAATCGCTCACATACTGGGCCAACAATCATATGCTCTTCTTCTTCTTCTTCCTTTAAGGCAACAACACGAAATTTTCAAACCAATTTAAATTTAAACTATTAAGTAATAAAAAATAATTAAAAACGTATTAGTTGTTAATGTTATAAGTCAAGTGAATATATCTAGCTTTTTTAAATTTAATTAAATGATTGTAATAAATTAGAAAATAATATATGCATTTTTTAACCATTAATATTTCTATTTTAAAATAAATAAAATGTATTTATAAAAATAAACAAGATTTTTTTCTCTCAAAAACAAGTCAAAATCATATTTATTGTAATTCAGTGAATCACCTCTAGTGGAAGCTCGTCTATCACCAGATTCTCCATGTCTAAAATTTCTCGATCCTAAAATATTTTATAGTAGAGTCACTGATATGTTTCACTATTTACTGCTAATGATACAATAAAAATACTTACATCTTCCGGTTCAGAGTGGATAGACCCTGAACAACTGTACATTGAATGATCGTCAAGAGTAGGCGTATCCTGACTCAATTCAAGTTCAGCATCCTGAAATTGAATTCCTTCCATGATACAAGAGTCGAAACATACGCTTACCTTATATTATACATAAATTGTATTATAAATCCTTTGCATCTAATCCAAAACACACGATCAAAAGATGACGTTTGTTCCAGCATTTAATATTATTATTTATTACAATTAATTGAGGTTTTTAGTTGAGATAAAAAATCAATGGCACGAGCGGGATTCGAACCCACGATCTTCGGCTTGATACGCCGCTGCTCTACCACTTGAGCTATCATGACCTCGATCCANCTATCGTGACCTCGATCACTCGGACACTAACTTCCCATCACCCGTGGTAGAGCAGCGGCGTATCTAGCCGAAGGTCGTGGGTTCGAATCCCTCTCGTGCCATTAACTTTTTTTGTCTCAAATAAAAACCTTAATTAATTGTAAGTTTAATTGGTCAAGCGAACCACAAAATTAGTGAACTATTATAAAAGCCAATTCAATGGAGAATTTAAACGTTATGAAGCATTGTAATGAGCTTTGGCCAATAAATTGGCTCGGGATAACTACAGGTATTTATTTAGAAATTGTGAGATGCGGTCTGGTGTAATGTAGGTTTCAGAAAAACATTTTCTTTATCGTGGCAATTGAATATGTCAATTATGAAAGGATACAGTGCACAATTAAAAAAGTGCTGTAGTTATCCCGAGCCGATTAATAGGCCAAAGTTCATTACAATGCTTCATAACGTTTAAATTCTCCATTGAATTGGCTTTTATAATAGTCTTAATTTTATTCAGGGTTATAATAACTTATATCACCTCAAAGATATGTGGACTATTATTGTTTAAAATTGCTTGTTACAAATTTTAAAAAATATGGATGTGATTGTTTAAAATAATAATAACCTAAACACACTTAACTTACAAGGGGAGGCTAAGAATGTGGGATGAATGGTATATTTGGGATCACTAATTTGAAAGAGAATCTTTTTGGTGACAGTACATTAAAAAATATAACATATTTATTTTCTTGCCATTCTTGGGCTCTATAGCCTAGAAAAACTCATGTTTTAAGTAAATTATACCATTTTTTAAACATGGTTGCCTATCAGAGGATATACTTTTATATATGTTTTTGATTTAATTTTAATTTTTTATTTTTGTAATGTTGAATAAGAAAATAATATGCAGGTTCATATTAAATGAGATCTAATATATAAAATATTACAATAAATAAAAGATGCAAGTAATAAAGTAGGTCAACAATTTTCTGTTTGGAAATAATATTTCAAATTTGTTTTAAGCTCTTTTTAAATCTCTTAAATATGAATGTGCAATAAAATAATATACATATTTAAGCTGAAGATTTGATATAAAAAAACTTACAAAAATGAAAAAACAATTTCTGTAAAGTAGGAAAAAATTAATGTGGATATGTTTGTGGGCTGGATACACCATTTTTTCTGCATAACCAGTTTTGATTAATCAATTTTGTCTTACCGGGATAAGGGTTAGAATAAGGGATTGATGTTGTACTTCAAGGTATTTCACAGCTGGTATGAAACTATCGCTGATTGTAATTTTTCTTTTTATTTGAGAGCCAATTAATAATGCATACTGAAAGAAGTTACAATTTCACAAGTTCAAATCAGAAAGTCATTGTGCAGTTGTTATTATGGCATTTAGGTGTTAACTATTATTTTCTTTAGACAATTTTTTTTTAATGCAAACAAATAGTGACACAAAATTGGCCTTAAGCATATAAACTATAAGATTAGATTAAAAAAACGTTGGCTTGTGTTAATTGATTTCATCCTTATTTTTTCACTTTTAATGGTTAAGTTAGGGTTGGAGATGGGCTAGGTGAGGTTAGGGTTAGGGTTGGCGTTAGGATAAGGAATGGTGTTGTACTTCAAAGTATTTCACAGGTGACATGAAACTATCGATCTATTTTATTAAATTCACTAGTTTCGTGGTCCGCTTGACCAATTAATATCTTACAATTAATTAATGTTTTCAGTTGAGATAAAAAAGTCAATGGCACGAGCGNACACGGAGGGCTTTAGTGAAGTATACTTCATTTTAAACTTATTAAATTCACTAGTTTCGTGGTCCGCTTGACCAATTAATATCTTACAATTAATTAAGGTTTTCAGTGGATCGAGGTCACGATAGCTCAAGTGGTAGAGCAGCGGCGTATTAAGCCGAAGATCATGAGTTCGAATCCCGCAGCATGTGCCATTGACTTTTTTATCTCAACTGAAAACCTTAATTAATTGTAAGTTTAATGGTTATGTTAGTATTGGAGATGGGTTAAGTGGGTTTAGGTTTAGGGTTAAGATTAGTGATAGGTTAGGTTTGGTGTACAGCTAGACTTGTGTTAGGCTAAATTAAGGCCAGATATGGACTATGTTAGGTTAAGGTTAGAGTGAGAGTAAGGCTAAATATAAATGATTTAATGCTTTTCATGAAGAAGAGAAAATATGCAAATTCATTTCTTAAGAAAAATGAAACTTTATGTGGGTTTTTACCATGATAAACTTCATACGATGACACAAAATTGCTACATATCAAAACATTTATGATGTTTTAAAACGTAGGCAGACCCAAATGATCAATAACGAAAAAATATGTATGACTAAAAAAACTCAATTTTGATGTTAGTTAATGAGATATGATAAATTAATGATATTTTCGCACTTTAGTAAAAGAAAATTTTTAAAATCAAAGTATTTCCCTGCTTAATATCAGAAATAAAAACTTACTAAATCTATGAACTTATGAACAGCGGGTACTTACAAAAACATTTCACTATTTTCAGCAATAGTGACATGAGCGCACTTTAGTCTCTAGTAACGTTTTTTGCTTACAGATATTAAAATCAAGTATTGAAGTTCATAACTACCAGGATATTTTTGTTTCGGGTGGTATTTTCTGTTTACTGATTTAATCAAATGATCATTTCGAGTACGATTTGGTTGAATGTTCTGGCATAGTATAGATCTCATATGTCATATTGAATTTTTCTTTTCTTTTTTACTTACATCTAAAATGATATTTATGAATTTTTCCATTTTCTAACCTTGGAGGCCTTGTTTAAGCTAGTTTTGTAAGACTCATTGTCATTCCTGAGCAATGAACAATAACTCTTGAAAACTTCTCAAGTAAGAGTAATAATATTGTGTGTTCTAAGGTATTTATGACCTTGATTGGTTAGAAAAGAAAAACCCAAATATTCCTTGGCATAAATATTTTTTTACTATTTCAGGCCGATAGACCTTTCTATCTAGTCATGCGGCATAAAGTTTCATTGGATTTTAAGGAGATGACATGTTGGGCTAGCTGAGGATGGGCCAGATGAGCCTGACGTCCAAAATAAACAAATATTTATGCTACAAATTACTTGGATTTTTTTTCCAACCAGTCGAAAAGAAATAAGAGTTTTATTTAGAAATTGTGAGATGCGGTCTGGTGTGATGTAGGTTTCAGAAAAACATTTTCTTTATCGTGCCAACGTTTCAATCTTTATTGAGATCATCTTCAGGGCCTGGGATTTACAAACATTGTTTACATATAACAATTACATTTTGGATGTGGACAAGTGAATTTATACAATGCAATATATTCAATCAAAGAATTTTGCATTGTATAAATTCCCTTTTCCTCATCCAAAATGTAATTGTTATTTGTAAACAATGTTTGAAAATCCCAGGCCCTGAAGATGATCTCAATAAAGATCGAAACGTTGGCACTATAAAGAAAATGTTTTTCGGAAACCTACATCACACCAGACCGCATCTCACGATTTCTAAATAAATGTCGATTAACGGTCACTAATCACCGCACACAGAAATAAGAGTGTAATGTTAGCATCTTTTGAATCCTTATATAATTATTTTCATTGATTATCCAATAAATAAATTTAAAAAATTAACATACCCAAAGAAATTCATGAGTTTTAATAAAAATATGTACCTATGATGGTTTGAAAGAAAATTCATCAAAACGTCAAACAATCATTTCGTGATAGATTAAAATTTAGTATATCAATTTTTTTAACCTAGTTTAGCTCTTAATGCATTATAATAAGCAAAGCCAGGTAATAAATTGCTTTGTATATTTTTATCGTAATTTTTATTAAAACTCATTTATTTGTAATCTTAAAACATTAAAATAAGTATGTTGTAATTTATATAATGATAAAAATACATATAGTTTGAAATAAATAACTAGTGTCCTTTTTCTTCTTATTTTTTTAGTTTATTTCTTAACATTCCCAGAAAATGTGATTGAATAATTTAGTTATATGTAGTAATGTACATACATACATGCAGTAATATAAATATACCTTATAATTTTATGTTTAGTGGGGAGACATAAACAAGAATACAATTCTATATAATACGGGAGTGCAAAAGATTGCAGATAATTTTTTTTGTAATTTAGTCGTAACTGATCATTACGAGTCCTGACAGTCATTTTGAGCCAAAACTTTTTTGGCTATTTGTTCATTCAGGAATCAGCCAGGGAAGAAAGGTGTTTTCTATAGTATATTTTCAGATGCTTCGGCTCTCTTGGAGCCATCTTTAAAGGAGTCATATAAAAAATAGGTCCAATAGTAAAAGCCTAAAAAATAAAGTCAAGGTTTAAGAAATCATCACTCATGAGTGATCAATTGCAACTTTTTGTATCTGAAGATGGCTTCTTTTTTTCTTTCCTTTCATACTACTCGAGGAGCAAATAGATATGAAAATTAAATTCCAACACAGCCGATGAAAAAACAAAACAACTATACATATTTTATACATGACATTCACGTTATATTAGTAGTACGTAGTCAAAGGTGTCTTTCTCGTATTCTTCTTATCCTTTTTATGTAGATAAGTTTTCTTCTAGCTTGAAAGATTCCCAAATGAAAGTGCTTGTTGTCTAAGTTGTCATTACGTATTTGGTGATGAAACAATAAGTGAGCACATTGCCCGAAAGTGGTTCAAAATTTTGAACAAGGAATTACCTTTTGTCGGTGAATATT